TGAATCGTTTTTCCCGTTGATCGGTCTTCCGTATATCGCAATAATATTTAGTTCAGTTGAATGCAACTCATTGAAGTAGAGACTTGGACCACTAGACTATTCAGCGACATTCGTCGACTGCCTCGGGCTGAACTGGGGCTTGAGCGACCAAGACTATTCAGCCTCTTCAAGATGCGCTGAACGGGTCGAAACGATTCTCAACCAGAGGGGAATCATACCATCAGAAGCGCCAGCTAGCTTTGTGCTCCTGAATGGGCTGAACCGGGGAGTGAACCCCGGGACCTCCTACGCCAGCAGCAAAATCAGACCACCAGACTATTCAGCCCTCGGGAGCAACGGGCTGAACCGGGTTTGCGATGATAGATTCTTTATTAGACTATTCAGCCCCTTGTTACAGCGATGGGCTGAACCGGGGTATGGAGCCGGGACCTCTGCTCGTTGGGCAAGAATCATACCACTATACTATTCAGCCTAATCGTTAAATTTGGTTGCACTCCAAATGCAAATGGCTCAACTGGGGTTTGCACCCTGGACCTTTGACGGTTGAGGAAGAATCATGCCACAAGACTATCCAGCCCACTTTTTGGTTTTGTTTCAAGTACAATGCAATGGGCTGAACCGGGGTTTGGACTCGGCGATTGAGCAAAAATCATAGGCTATTCAGCCAACTCGTTGAATTTGTTCAACTTTTTTAACGACATCGCAATTGGCTGAACCGGGGTTCGGACCCGGGACCTTTGATGGTCGAGCAGGAATCATACCACTAGACTATTCAGCCCACTTGTTTCTAGCATAGAACTTGGCTGAACTAGCTTTTAACCCCAGCTAAAGATGTACGACTAGACTAGTCAGCCGACCTTCAACCTGCGATTAGAGAAAATTCGGTGGTTTTGCACCAAGAGACGATTCAACCGCTCTTCCGAAGACTTCAAGAAAAGTTGAAGAGGCTGAACCGGGGTTTTGCACCGAGAGACTGTTCAGCCGCCTTCTTTGGAAGATCCAAGAAATCAAAAGGGCTGAACCGGGGCGCGAACCGGGGACCTCTGACGCCAGTTTTAGGAATCATACCACTAGACTACTCAGCCCATTTGTCAAATTCGTTTTGATTGGTGGATTCGTTTCAAAAGACATTGCAAGTGGCTGAACCGGGGTTTGGACCCAGGACCTCTGCCAGCTCAGCAAAAATCATACCACTAGACTATTCAGCCCGTTTGTTAAATTTATTCAACTTCTTCAACGCCATTGGATCGGCTGAACCGGGGTCTGAACCTGGGACCTCTGCCGGTTGAGCAAGAATCATACCACTAAACTATTCAGCCCATTTCTTCAGTTTCGTAGCGATATTGCAAACTGTCCAATTGGCTGAACCGGGGTTTGGACCTGGGACCTCTGGTGGTTGCGCAAGAATCATACCACTAGACTATTCAGCCACTAAACTACTTGTCAATATTGTTCATCTGCATTGGTTTCCGCCTCTTAAAGTCTACAACCACAGGAGAGTTTATGACAGGCACCTGTGCGATGCACAGAAATCATCCTGAAAAATCCCATGCCGCATCATATGGGTCAAAAAGGGGGAAATGAAAATAACATATGGAAAATCGAGACAAAGAAAATGAAATACATATGAAGGTCAAGGAAAGAGCACAAAATATTTTTGGGCTGAACCGGGACCTCAGATTAAGGCGACCCACTGAACGCAGGGCTTGTCAAGCGAAGTAGCAACAAGACGCTGTTTTTGAGCCCGCTCTGAATCCTACAACGGTAATAATTTCTGCACGTTCGGAGTGAGGTTGGGGGTAGACAGCCCCAAGGAGGACAACACACACTCCCCACGACGCATGGACTGATTTTCAGAAATGCCCGACAACAACATGCCAAATTGATACCAAATTATGCAACTGTTACATATAAGACCTAATACACCAGGCATATGAAAGT